TACCGTGAAGTGGTAATATCGAAATACAAAATAAAAGATACAAAAATAATACATTACCGTGAAGTGGTAATATCGAAATACAAAATAAAAGAAACAAAAAGAATACATTACCGTGAAGTGGTAATATCGAAATACAAAATAAAAGAAACAAAAAGAATACATTACCGTGAAGTGGTAATATCGAAATACAAAATAAAAAAAAAAAAATAATACATTACCGTGAAGTGGTAATATCGAAATACAAAATAAAAGAAACAAAAAGAATACATTACCGTGAAGTGGTAATATCGAAATACAAAATAAAAGAAACAAAAATAATACATTACCGTGAAGTGGTAATATCGAAATACAAAATAAAAGAAACAAAAATAATACATTACCGTGAAGTGGTAATATCGAAATACAAAATAAAAGAAACAAAAAGAATACATTACCGTGAAGTGGTAATATCGAAATACAAAATAAAAGAAAGAAAAACGGTTTATAGCGTCTCTCGCATCGGGGGTCAGCAGCAGATGAGAAATATGGGCACGATTAAAACGGACACCAAAGACCCAATATATAACAATTAAAGGCTAATTAAATTTAAGCCTTAGGATTTCTTTTTCTTCTTCCAGGAAAATGGCTGGTAGGACTTAATATAAATTGATTCCAACACTGGCAAAAGACCAAGGTAGATGACGTTAAAGAAGAACTGAGAAAGAGAAACACAAACTGTTAGCAGACTCCGCGGCTTAACTATGATCGACGTAACTGGAAAAAAAAAAACTGTAGACCTTCGCTATGTGTTAAACATGGAGGAACAAATTAGTAAGGTTAATTCACTACACAGAGAGTTAGATTTTATACGTTCGATTTAAAAAAAAAAATAGTCAGTCTCCAGATGAATAGATATTTTGTCTAAAAAATTGTCAGCGTGGAAATGCAACTGAAATGTCTCCACTATCCTTACACCTAAGAACATTCATGGCAATGCACAAATGCTCCAGAGAGGTTCTTACAGTTTATTCTAGTGTGCATTGAGTTTGACAAGTAGAGACAAAAACGGGGGGTAATGGTCTTTCAAACAAACTCTTCTCCCGAGTTTAGACAACATACAGGGTGGTTCCGAAAGTCTTGTCACCTCATACCTCACTGCCAAACTGTAGGACCTCGTGTCATACATCGGAAATAGAAAATTATATTACATATGAGTGACAAGACTTTCAGACCACCCTGTAGTTTATTCTCTTATATAACGTATGGAGAAAAGAGATGGGTTCGTACGTTTTCCAAGTGAATTAATGCGAAATTTGACAACACATTAGGCCGGAATTTTAACTCAGATCTCTGATTTCGCTTTCAGATTATCCAAACGGAAAACATTAGTTTGACGAAATTATTATATCGGTTGAATTTTCTTGGGAATCGAAATAAAAATTAGGTCACTTTTGATATGTTAGAAGAAGTACTTTAAATAGAATTTAAAAGAACAAAAACAACAAAAAAATATACTATCTGTAAAGATAGAATAGAAAATCTTTCACGCCCTTATGAGACTATTCGATCTAATACAGTCTTACTTTCTTTTTCGTTTATTTTAAATGTTACAAAAAATTATCTTTGTATTTGGTGTGAAGTGTTTTTAGATCAGATTCTATGGAAAAGCTGTTTTTGCCGGAGGAATGTTCAGGCGATTCATGAAGAGATAGAGGGTAAGAATGGAGATGAACGGCTAAGCTGGTGTTGAGGGACATGTCAGTTTTATCTGATCATCTTCCTCTTCTCTCCTCCTCTATCTTTCCCCCGACTTTCTCTTCCCATTGTACTTATCTACTTCCTTTCTTTCATTCTGTCTCTTCACTTCATATTTATTCTTTCTTTCTTTCTTTCTTTCTTTCTTTCTTTCTTGCTTTCTTATTTTATTCTTTATTTTCCTGTGATTCTACGTATAATGTTTTCATTTTGGCGGGAGTAGATACTGTTTTTTTGTGGGGGTTGTGCATACTACACTTTAGTGTATATATCTGTGAGTGTGTCTCAATGTGAATGTACATAGGGCGTATTTACGTGGATCTGAATTCCAAATATTGTTTATTAGATCACTTTATATATATATATATATATATATATATATATATATATATATATATATATATATATATATATATTATAATTAATTGATTTAAAATATGGTTTTTTCGCTACATAGTTCTAACCATAGCGAATTTTAGACTCCAAAATTCGCTTGAGGATGAAATGGAACTAATGTCTTTAATTTAATCACAAAATTAAATTCGTGGCTTTTAGCTTCCATTTTTGAAACATGGTTAGAACTGTGTAGCGAAAAAAAAACATATTTTAAATCAATTAATTTATAATATTAATCCTCTGTAAATTTACATTGAGCACTATTTTGTAAAAATAAAAATATCTATAAGAACACCGGATTATATATCTTGCTGTTCTTTCTTTTTATTTATATACATACATATATATATATATATATATATATATATATATATATATATATGAAGAAATATAGTCTTAAGATGTGCTATATTTATGGGATAAAGTGCTCAATATCAGAGATAGAGCGTGTGTAAATGAAAAAGTGAACATAGCAGTCAACACTTAGAGGCGACAGTCTGTTTCATGCTATATTGTATCTAGTATGAAACAGACTGTCGCCTCTACTGTTGACTTCTATGCTCACTATATATATATATATATATATATATATATATATATATATATATATATGAAGAAAAATATACGGAAAAAACAAACAAAAATCCTAATATGCTGTTATGCTGTTTTAATGTTAATATAATGTCAACGTCGGACGTTTCGGTCTAGTAGACCATCTTCAGGACATATTCATAAAACATAATTAACATTAGACTATATTTAATTCAACATGAAAAGACGATGGACATAAGAGTAAGACTAATCAAAACAGACCACTGAAATTTTTCAAGATCAGCGTTCCGTTTCAATATGATCTCGTCGGCGTCACGTGGGTGATGTTGTGAAAACGTATTCCTAAAATATAGTATTTTGAATGAAAAATGAAAAGAATTTTATTTTAATCTAAAACTTATATGTACGTTTGTCTAATGTTAATTATGTTTTATGAATATGTCCTGAAGATGGTCTACTAGACAGAAACGTACCAAAAATACATTCTGGTGAAAATAAAATAAAATGAAATAAATTACGAACAATACATTTTTGTAAAATAAAATAAAACAAAATAAATTACCATACAATATATTTTTGTAAATAAAATAAAATGAATTACTAACAATACATTTTTGTAAAAAAATAATAGAATAAAATAAATTACCAACAATATATTTTTGTAAAAAAAATAACATAAAATAAATTTGCAGCAATACATTTTTGTAAAAAAAACAAAATAAAATAAATTACCAGCAATACATTTTTGTAAAAAAAAAATAAAATAAAATAAATTACCAGCAATACATTTTTGTCAAAAAAAATATAAAATAAAATAAATTTGCCAGCAATAGATTTTTGTAAAAAAAAATAAAACAAAATATATTACCAGCAATATATTTTTTAAAAAAAAATAAAATAAAACAAATTAGCAACAATACATTTTTGAAAAAGATATAAAATGAAATTAACTTCCAACATAACATTTTTGTAAATTACTAACAACACATGTTTGTAAAAAAAAATAAAATAAATTACCAGCAATACATTTTTGTAAAAAAGAAATGAAATAAAATAAATTATAAACAATATATTATTGTAAAAAAAAAATAAAATAAAATAAATTACCAGACATACATTTTTGTTAAAAAAATAAATTGAATTACCAGCAATATATTTTTGTAAGAAAATAAAATAAATTACCAACAATAATTTAAAAAAAAAATTTAAATATAAATTACCAGCAATACATTTTTCTAAATACATAAAATAAAATAAATTACCAGCAATATATTTTTGTAAAAAAAAATAGAACAAAATAAATTACCAGCAATACACTTTTGCAAAAAAAATAAAATGAAATAAATTACCAACAATACACTTTTGTAAAAAAAATATAATATAAATTAAATTACCAGCATTACATTTTTGTAAAAAAAATAGAATAAAATAAATTAGCAACAATACATTTTTGTAAATAAATAAATTACCAGCAACCCATTTTTGTAAAAAAATAAAATAAATTAAATTAAATTACCAGCAATATATTTTTGTAAAAAGAAATAAAATAAATTACCAGCAATACCTTTTTGAAAAAAAATAAGATAAAATTAATTACCAACAATACATTTTTGTAAGAAAATAAAATAAAATGAATTAATATCAATACATTTTTGTAAAAAAAATAAAATAAAATAAAATAAATTACCAGAAATACATTTTTGGAAAAAAAAAAATTAATTACCAACAATACATTTTTCTAATAAAATAAAATAATATAGAATAAATTACCAGCAATAAATTTTTGTAAAAACATTGAATAAAATAAATTACCATCAATACATTTTTGTAAAAATAATAAAATATAATAAATTACCAACAATACATTTTTGTAAACAAAATAAAATAAAATAAATTACCAATACCAAACAAAAATAAAATAAAATTAAATTAATTACCAGAATTAATTAATACTCGAAAGAAAATTAAATTTCAGTATTAAATGACCCGTAAGCGGTTGATATGCTGCTCAACAAACATATTTAGATACTATGATTCCACATTTTATTTGTGCATAAATTTTATCTGTTCATACGCATATACCTTCTTATGAGCATTTCGAGGAGGGAAGACGATGATCGATTTAGGGGAGTCGACGCCAGGGTCATCTGTAACTTTCCAGTTCAACACCAGGCATGTTTCCCTGTCACTTGTGCCCGAGAAATGTCGTTCGCATATCTGGCTGCTATCTCATTTAACAGCCGACAGAAGACGGGCGGTGATGGAAGGACAGCGTCGTCGTCAGCGATGACGAAGAGCCTAAGAGACCTTTTTAATGA